TTGCAAAAGCGGGAGTGCACTGAGAGGGGTTCCGCCAACAAAGTCTTCAACCTGTCCTCGAAGAGGTTCAAAGACACCACCATCGCTGCCTGGAACTTCTTCAAAATAATCCTGAGACGTACAGTAAATACATGAACTAAGCTCGGGCCTCATCCCATTCCATCCCTCATCCCGCCGCCAATTTAAAAAAGAACTAAAAGACTCCTACACACGTATGAAAGGCAAGATGCAGGCTGTAAAAATCGTCGGGACATCTCATGGTGAGAGCTATGCTGTCCGGACGAGTCGTACAACTGAAGACATGCTTTCGCACACTGCCGGGCACTGTCCTCATCACTTGAAGCCAGACCACACAAGCGCCAAGGAAGGACGTTCCAAAACGCTGTTTTGGTTCGCACTTGCGTTAGAATCATGTCCTCAGACCAAAAACTCAGCGCGCAAATGGAGGAGGATGTGTGACTGACATTTGAAACACCAGCAAATCTACTGTAATTTTGGTGTTGAAACTTGAAACCTCTTCACTTTCAAGGGTTTCAAACAAAACAGTCAAAGTCAAAGTCAAAAGCTTACGCAATTCCACCACCCAAGAAACTACCGCATAGTAGTAGTCGTTCAGGAGCACCGGCGCTTGATCGGCCGGCAATTCATCAGACAAAACGATGATCTCACTTTTGGCGAACACCGTCAAAGTTTCTACAAAAGCACCAAAGACTCCACAAGCTAGTTCTGGAGCTCGTCTGCCTCTGAACTTGCACGTGATGGTCTCTGGAGAAAGCCACTGGTTTCCACTTTGTGGAGCAACTCCCTCATGCGCAGCTTCCCGCTTGATAGTCGCTTCACGCTTCCGACGTCGTTTTGCAAATGTCCTTCTCTCAGGATCTTCCACATCATCGTAAAAAGTCGAAAGTCGAGTCTTGCTGTGGCATGGGCAGGACTCACACCAACAGGATAAGTCATCCAAGCAGCCTGCTATAAGTGAAATGAAACGGCAGTAGTTCCAAAACATGTTGGACCCAATTGCTATAGATACTTCTTTGGACAGGGTTGTAGCTGTGGATTGCCGAGAAGAAACTCCATCTCTGACAGCATCTGGAAAACTTGCTGAATCGCCACCGCTGACTGATGGATTCGGATTATCCACTTGACTAGCATATTTTTGTTCATCCCAGCCTTAGGTGTTACAATTTGGATCAATGGAGAAAGCCGAAAACAACTGTGACTGGAAAGACCTACCTACAGAACACAACAAAATCATTGAACTCATTTACTCATTGCTGTCCATATATGCCCATGTCTCAGACAAGAAACATGTCCGAAGGGCACCCCGGCGTGCTAGCACACCTCGTGTGCACTCGACCACTGAGCCCCATCGCCAGTCAATGAACTTGCCATGATCCCAGGTAGATAGGATATCCTTGAACTGGTGTCCGGGCATTCCTGGTTGGCAAAGTCGGTCCTTACTATGTTTGCTACAGTCCCCAGGCCCCGGCCCCTTGACAATCCTGCTTGGTGTTGTTATCATTTAAGATTTGACTAGACTCTATGCTGTCCCTGGTTTCAGCGTTTCACCTGGCAAAGATGTTCACTTGACAGTTTCAACCAAACATGTGACAAACAAGCCAAGCGTCAGTCAGCCTGTCCCTGTTTGTTTTGTCGTGCAGAAGCTTCACCAAAGGTTGTAGCATGTCCTGAACGTCTGAGTCTGAGTCAGTCTGAGTCTGATTGAATATAATTCCGGTCCGCCCCTCGGCTACAAACACAGTTCGACCGAGTATCGTTGAATGCTGAATAGTAGTGCAGTTTGGACATGAACTCTTGGGATATGTTGTCCAGAATGTGCTTCATGCCGGGTATCAGCATGGCTGTTTCCAGGGTGAAGGTAGAAGTCACAACTGGCCTTGCGGGGGCAGCCACAACCTCCGTAGCCACAGGGACAATACGCGTTTCATCCTCACCGGGACCATCATCCAAGGCATCCATGTGCAAAAAACCACACGGCCCTGGCTGAGCCTCCCCTACTTGGAGAAGATCTCCAGAGCTCCGGATATTTGCTTCAAGGATGCTCTGCACGTTCCTGAAAGCAAAGCAAGCTTAGCTTCGGTTGTTCGACTCTTTTCAACTCAGTATAGGTAAGTGGTAGGTGCACTGGCATTAGCATACAAGTCATTAAAACCTCATTCGGTGGCACGACTCGACCGGGATTCGGACAACACCTGCCAACCTTTGGTGGGACCTGTGGTAAAGTCACTGACCACTGACCGCTGACCAACAGTCAGTTCAACAAAACCAAAAAACACAAAAAGTCTCACGATGGTCCGGTTGAGGCTCACCCCAGGAACCTTGGTGAGGTGAGCTTCTGTGCCATAGTCTGAACATATGGATACCACGGAACGACTATAAACTTCCATGTGTTGTTCACCGCAATCCAAGCAGATGGCGTGCAGCAAACTTTCAAATTTGGCCGCCGAGTCTGTCCCTCCACTCCCCAAAATTGACAAAGGAAGGGGTGTTGTGTCGCAATGAGATGCCAAACTCCATGCAGAAAGTTTGGTGGTATTTGCATCAACGATTTGTGAAACTGATTTTCTGCCTACTCGATCTTCAAGACCAACCAAGAAGTCCAATCCCCCCTGGGGACTGCTGTCACAGGACAAATACACGAATATGCCTCCTTCTTGTTGCAAGTGTGCAAATTGCCGCTGCCGTTGTTTCATGTGAAGAATGTCCATCTTGAGTCTGCCAACGCTCAAAGCTGATTTGGAAGGTACTGGCAGAGTCTTGTCACGGATCTGTTTGACAACTTTCCTCGACGGGAAGGGGCAAAGCAAGTTGCGGCAAGGTCATAGGTCACAGGAAGTTTAGTATTTGGTGTGTTAGATATTAGACAGTTGAGTAAGAATATGGTTGATAAAGGATAAAGGTGGCAGGAACTAGGAGCAGGGCAGGAACAGCAACGGCATCAACCTGAAGACAGCTATATATAAAAAGATTAATACGAGATTACAAGGCACCGGGAGCTGAGCAAAGTGAGTTGAGTATGAAGAGGATGTAAGTAAGTGAAACATAGTCTGAAATTTACTTGACTTGCAGTCGTCGTGTACAGCTGACCGATGACATGCTGCAGGGGAGCCACGCCGCCACGCTGCTACCGAATCCCCAAGGTCTTGTTAATAATAGACCTACCTACCTACTCTCCTTGGGCTGCTCTTAGCGTTCAAAGGGCGATGGGACGGGACGCGTGTTACATCAAATACATTAGAGCCACGTCACGCTTCCACGCTGCCACTCCTCATCCTCATCATCCTCATCCTCCTCCTCATCGGGATTGCGAAAACGCGACAAAGTCCAGTTGGGATTTGGTGGAGCTTGCGGATGGAAATGTTGGTTGAACAGCTCTTATCCGAGCAGTCAGTCACCGTCGTCATCATCGTAAAACTAGTAATTGTAGTAGTAGTAGTAGTCGTCGTCGTAGCAGGGTTGTGGTAGTGGTAGCAGTAGCCACAACAATAGTCAGTTGATAAAGGCAGCAGGAACCAGGAACGGGAACAGCCATACGACACGACATCACATCACAAGGCACCGGGAGCCGGGAGCAACGTGAGTATGAAGAGGCAAAACCACAACAACAACTGTACCATGTCGTCGCTTTGCGTGTTGAGGGTGTAGGTTCTTTGAGGAATTATAACTACAACACTGTATAGCTGACCACTGGCCCCTGACTCATGACCGCCGACCACCCACCGCTCCCAACCTAGAGCAAAATGAGAAATTTCCTAACCGCACTAACTATCACCAGACCCGCGGTGAGCCATACTCACCTACCCGGTTTTGTTTGTGTGAAAGTAGTTTGTGTGCCTTTTCACTGTCGAGGGACTCTGCCTCCTCGCTTCCCAGCACAAATGCCATGGCCCTGACAAGTACTTGCGGTAGCGAATCAGCCGAGCTCAAAAGCCGGCTGAGCAGGAGTGCCTCCAACAGCCGCGCCAAGGTAAAGGTACATTTGGGTCCACGCTTGCGCGCCCGCACGAGCGCACTCTCAGGCTCCATGACCACAGTGTTGTTGTATTCACAACAGGAGGTTCATTTAAAAAACACACTTGAAAATTGAAAACTTCATTTTATTAAACATATTTTACTTTACTTAGCATTCCATAGGCCAGAGGACTTGAAATATGCCAGACATCACATGTCCCTCTCAGTGTGTTTCTGGCCGTTTCACTCTCTATAGTATTCTCTTGGCCGCCTCTGTGTCCGTAAGATGTGATGTGATGTATGCACATGAATGGCTGCGCAGATTAAGCTGCAACTGGAAGCTCACAATCAGGTCAGGGCAGGACAGGAGCTGCTATCTCAGTTGCTTTACCCGACTCCACCGGACCCGAGATTTTCCAGCAAGTGTTTTCAATTGCTCTGAAAAGGTTTTTAGCAAACCTAAAGTTCCCCAAAAAAATGCAAACACTTCTCAGTGGTTCCATTTTCAGTTTTCAACCAAAATCTTGAATTAGAAAACTTAACACCTTTGAAGGACTATTAGGATGGGAATGACCGGCAAAGAAGCCCCTCTGTTTAGAGTCCAAACAAAAGGATATATGGGTACGAAATGACCTCAACAATGACCTGTGCCACCTACACTGCCAGTACCCCTACCAAATCCCAACACCATTGATTCTAGTACATGGATACTGCTCCAAAAAACATCAGATGCAGGTGTTGGTCTGTGCGTCCTTTACAAGGTGCTTTTCGGAGTCTTAGACGGCACAATGTTATACAGTTATACAGACATCATCTAGAGAATCCTCGCAATTCTAGGCTTGGACTTTGGAACCCGAAATACCCTCCCCAGGGATCCAGTCGTACCTTCTCAGAAGGTAATTGGACCCTCCACACCTACATAACAGTGTCGAACACATCACCATCTAAGAAGGTCTTTGGATCCCTTAAACACCCTATAGGTGACGAACTCCACACGGTGCTCGTTCCGCCTCGCTTCTCCCGTGGGCCTCGCTGGGCTTCACCTCCTCGTGCTCCTCCAAGCTGCTGAGCAAGCGTCGGGCCACCTGGGCGTCGGACCGAGAGACCGAGAGAGACGAGGTCCGGAGCGAGAAACGAAGGACTTGGTCGAACGGCAGGGACTTGGTATTTGATTGGGGCAAACAAAACCAAGAAACACATACAAAATACATGCGTTTTTAATAAAGAACTAGGTTTTGACCTGCAGCAATCATATTATTCGATATGTTAGTAATGATTATATAATGTGTTTGCAGCATTTGATTGTATTGAATCATGATGCTTGGTTTGGTTTGGATGGCTCCAGAAATTTTGTCGTTGGCTTCTTGGCGGCGTATCTTATCGGATTCCAGCACTTGGTGTGCTTTCCAACCGTGATGCTTTTTCAGCACACTCATACCAAACAGCGCTAAATCTAGGTACACTTTTTCTGAAGCACTGATCAAATGCTCGATTACTTAGCTTGAGTTGCAACCATTTAGCCTCACAGAAACTGGATCTTCACCTGAAGACTAAGAAGACGGGTGGTTTGTGGGTTTGCAGCCTGCGGAAAAAACACAGGACTTGGTTACTTCAGTTAATAACGCACACCACCGGCGCTCCGCCCCCAGCCGCACGGGCCTCCCATCGAACGCCCTCCCGAGCGCCTCGCGGGCCTCCTGCTGGATGGCTTCGGACTCCTCCGGCGACAGCTGGTCGTCCCAGCCGGGAGGGTAGACCGGGGGGTAGACCAGTTCCTGGCGGGAGGTCGTGCGCGGCGAGGTAGGTGCACCAAGGTGTGTTCGGGATCGGCACCAAAAAAAAGGCGGCCAGGCGGGAAGAAGTACCAATGAGAATGAAAGTTGCAAAAACCAGCCAAAAGTTGCGGGAAATGGAAAACAGTAGGGTGGAATTAGTACTTAACCTATCTCATCAAATGCGTCTCACAAGTTTCAATTAACATGTTCAATGTGTTTATTATAGCAACGGCACTTAAGGGCAAAATACCAGAAGCGTTTTTCAGATGAAATCGACCCGGAATGCCGTGGAGCGAAAAACAAAAAAAAATGGTCACTTCGGTTGGGAAGTGGTTCGTTCAGCAAGTGGATCCCGGATGCCAATGTTTTTGGATGTTTGTTTGGTGAGCAAAAGCAAAAGGCCACTTGAAGAAACGGAACAACAGCAGTGCGCCAACTACACGGTCCACCACCCTAAGCTTCGAAGGTTGTTTTGAAGCAAAAACAACCGCTGGCCGCTGGCAGGAAACACTTTTAGGTCCACCGCCGCTAATTAAGTAAAATTGTGGGCAACTATCAATGCTCGTGAATCTGTCTTTAATTATCTTGTTGGGATCAAAACCACAGGAAAGGAAGTTTGCATCAGGTGAAATACATCGATGAACATGCTGTTCAATCGATGACGATGTTGTAAAACCGAAGACTATCTGATGAAATCGATGACAGTGTTCTCCAAACAAAAGTCAACAACAATGCACAAAACACCGAGGCCTGTTGCGGGCGGTGGGCCAACTACATTCAAGCTTATTCAATCAACCATGCAAGTGTAGTGTAGTTGTTGGAGTGCATGGATTCAAGTCAGCATTTGCAGACTTGCAGAGAACATGGAATAAGAAACACATGTTTTACCATAGATCATCGTTTCATAAAGAGCCTAAACCCCCCTGATTTAACAGTGGCAAATAAGATCATCCTCCATCTTTGTGTTTCCCAAAGTTCAATATTGTGCAAACCGAGGTCTAGATTTTGGCAGCGCCAAGTCCAGGCAAAGTCAAAGCGGGTGCGCGCGTGTGTTTTTCTTGTGCCGCCGTTTGCTTTTGCCATCCTTGGTTTGGAGGGTGGCCGGTTCAAACCGCTTTAGCATTTAAAAGGGGCCTTTTAGGGAACCCCCGCCGTACCGCCTCTGTTTATGCATCAGGCCTTTCTTTCAGTGCTAACCGAAACCATGCGCGAAGGTGAAAAGCTTGGCATCACCAGGCGAACGCAGCGGCCAGTTGCCAGGCGCCTGCGTTGAGTCCTTGCCCGGGCAGCGGCCAGTTCCTCTTCGTCTTCGACTTGCCACCGTGCTGTAAAGGCAATCGGTCCTTGTCGGCCGCGCTTGGCGCGGTTATTTTTTGTGTTGCCTTCTCTTTTCGCCCCAGGAGGGCATACACAGTTCAGATTCGCCCTGGAAAAGCAATATCTAATCTATCGCAAAACCTCGTTCGCCATCAGTTTCGTCAGACCGACCTGGCCAAAGGAGCGCCAAGGGCCCCAGGAGTCATCATAACCGACACACTGCAGCTCAGGGACAGCTCATTGCACACAAACCGTAACACAGCAAAGGTGCGCCTGCCCACATGCTCACGTGCGCCCAGACCCGGCCCACTTGACCCGCTTCGATGTGGCCATCACACCATGGTGGTGATGCAAACCCTCACTCCGATAAACATTGTGTTGCTCTGCGCTGCAAAATCCTGATCTTCCCACAACATCGAATTGCAGCTGCTTCCGGAAAGCAGCGAGGCAATCGCACCCACACGGTGCAGAAGAACGACCACGCAGCGCGCGGCGCGCGTACCAAACGACAGGCCTCGTCGTTGCCCTGATCGGCCTGGAGAAGCGAATAGACTGAGTACCCGAAGAATCCGGGCCCTCAAATATACGACCACATCGAGGGATTCATGTTTTACACAGTCACGAAAACCGTTCAGGTGTTTGACCTATTTTGGTCAGTACCTGTGCCCTGCCAAGGATTGTGACTGGGTAGGCACAAAATGGAAGTAGTCCTCGAAGGCTGACGAATTTGGGAGGGGGGCATCCCAGAATTTGCTAGGTATGGCAAGATGTTGTATTCATCAAGTGGTGGCAAGGCCAATCTGTAAACCTTTGGCGATCCAGAACCGAAAACACCGAAAACACCGAAAGCGAATCCGCCCTGCATGGCAGGGGTCCGGACCCGAAACCAAACCCCACGTATGTATTTGAGGGCTCGGATTCTCAGCGCACGATGTTGGAAGTGGGCTCTGACAACCCCTGGCAATGTCCGATGTCAACTCCGTGGTCTCTTTCTGCTTTGCTGAACTGTCCAAAACTAGTGGGTTGGACCGAAATCATGTTCTTTTAATTGTCTTGTTCTCATCCAGCTAGGAGGTTTTCGGATTTACTCACCCCAACCAAAACAACGAAATATGCCTGAATTCAGGTGGGGAGAGTCTTCATCCAGTCGGCAGCGGTTTGCTTTGGCCATGCCTCGTCATGCACATCCAGGACATTCCAAGCCTGTGAGGGGAGACCAGCACAAATGAGTGGGTAATAGAATCCAAAGACCAAAATAACAACTGGGAGTGTTTTGGTCAATTTTTCTTCCCAGCATGAGCTACAACAAGAACTCGGAGCTGATCCTGAATAGACGTGCATGTCTGATGATTGACTAAGCAAACATGTGGACAAAAAGGGAGACCTAATGGATCAGCCCACTTCCACGCTGCATGTTTCAGGCGTTTTTCTGTGAAACACGTTATACTTTCATCTCTTGAATTGGTCTTCAGGGAAAATCTGCAGGAAACGCATAGTTTTGGGGTTGAACACCGTGACAACCATGGTTTCCTGCAGAAACCATCCCTCCAACCAATCCATGGATTTCAGTGTCGAGGCGATCATCTTTAAATATATACTGTATAGTATGATCATCTTTGACCACCCACGCGTAGCTTTGCAAAGCTTTGCTGAGACTTGTGACCCTGACTTCTGCTCTGATTCCCTTCCCTTCCTCACGGGAAAAAGACGATTGGGGTTTAAATTTGATATCATATGCTATGATGAACCAACAAACAAACCTGCTTCATCAGTGATGATCACCTGCTTGGGAAGAATAGAGGGATCGGTTGACCCTCTGTGCTTCATCCTTTTATGTCTACTTCTTCACCAGCTGGGTGTACGCAGTCTATCCGCCTCTCGTGACCGCTTTGGGGACCGTGGATCCACAAGACCCAAACCACCTCACTGCAAACCAACATGGAACCTGACAACCATTGGTTTGTAGAGGAAAACAGTCTTTGAGGGTGCCATTTTCAAGGTCCATGTTAATCTTCCCGGGTGTGTATGGAATTGTATCTGCACTATGGGCTGTGCCACTACCGGACACCAGAATCTCGCGTGGCGTTTTTGTTGGAAGTATGAAGTAATTCGAATAGTTGCCTACATGGTTGGGTCATACATGGGTCAACAAAGTATTCCGTACATGGGTGGTCTGGGATAGGTCACCAGTAAACTAAGAACCATAGAACTCCAAAGCACTCTGCCTCATATCGTGCGAATGGCCAAACTGGAACTCAATTGGTGTTTGACATGTTTTGACCTCACGAAAATGACATGAATAATACATGAAATTACTATACATCTCCACCTGTCGCCCTGGAGCTTTTGAGGTCACTTGGGCACCTCCTTCTCGACGTAGCCCTTCTTCTCCACGTCTAGGAGACACCAAACATCCTCTGCGTTCGTGGGTGTTAAGCCCTCGGCTGCCGAGGCTGGGTACAAAAATGAATCCTGAAGTAGAACTGGTGGGCCACCCACTCCCATGTGGGTGTGTATCACTAGGGCTCCAAGTGCCTTCTAAGAAGGTGTTTGAGGTGGGTTTGGAAGGTCCAAATCCCTTCTGAGGAGGTACTTGGAGCCCTAGGGTATTCAAATAGAAAGACCTCCCTGCGGATTAAAACGACCCCCTGGGTTCGGTAAACCGATTCTTCCACCAACCAGCACGCAGTTATAGCAGCCACGGAAGGGGAGAAAGGGTGTCAACTCTGTGGTGAAGTTAAGAAGTTTTGCTGTTTCATCTTATTTTTGAGGAATTACATTGAATATATCTTGCAGCAACATGGGCTTGTAGAGCTATAGTCCTTTGCCTGCCTTTGCCTGCCTGCTTCTTGATTCTGATGCGGGATTTGCTCGCTTGTTTTTTGCCCTTGCAATCTCTTGAGTCTGGGAACCCCAAAACACACCAGCTCGGCATGAACCTGCTGTGGGCAAATTGGACTAACAGTTATTGTTGTCTCAAGGTAAAACACCCGTGCAGCACAGAGGGCTCCTTGCTACTGAAAAGGCAATAACATTGTGACGCTGGAAATGGTAGCAAACCAATCTTTCAGTTCCATCTTCCATTGCTGGCGTCATAGAGATGGAGTCAGGGCAAGAAACACACGCAAATAACTAGAAGTTGATAGAAATTGTTACTCCCTGTGTGGTCCAAACTCCCTGTGTGGCCCAAATTCTTAGATTCACAGGGTACTTCTGGACCCTGGAGTCCAAAAATTGGAGGTGTGATGAGGTGTGTGTGTTTCACCCACCAAGGGGACAGTGTTGGGATTGGTGTTCAAACATCGAAAACATACCCTACAAGTCAATAACCTCATTTTACTGAAAAAAGTAAAAAAAAGACTATTCAAGAAGGTCAAGGACCAGGTTTTACTGGGTCAGACTGGACTTGTACTTCGTCCCACCGAGCAGTTGACCATCCCTACTCAAAGCAATGGAGTTTTTCTCACCCGATCCAGGTCGTGAAGCCCGTGTGGTCCGAGGGTCGAGGGCCTCAAAGACATGTCCCGTTGGCTCTGCTTTTTTGCAGTCTTTTTGGAGCATCTGTCTTCAGGAAGCCGACCAAAAACGCTACCCCAACTGGTGCTGAAGACTTGTTTTCGACCATTTGCAACACATCTCCATACATCTTCACCAAACCTCCCACCTCAGACCAAGCCTCCCACCAAGCCTCCAAGCCTCCATCTCCCATCCCCAGACCGTCTCTCCCCCATTTTCTCTCCAAAAAATGATCCGAGTCGAACCAAAATCGACCTCTCCACCCACCTTTCGCTGTCCAGGAGCTAATTCCTCACAAACCTCTTTGAAGGCATCTCCACGGAGCAGCCCACTGGGCCGGCGCGAGCCGTCCGGGGGGCAACCCCTGCGGTGCAAAGCACCAAGAGCAGCTAGGGCCCTTTCTTTGGGCCGACCAAGGGCGTGAACCTCTGAAACAACCTTCCAAACCACTTACTTACAAGAGTCAACACATGGTGTAAAACAAAACACCGTCCACCAATCCAAGCCATGTCAGTGCAAAACAAAACAGGTGACTGGCTTGTTCGCACCATACAAGTTTATCGCCCCAGCTCCATCCCGTGAGCCGTTCTTGAACACCCCACAGGGTCGCGTTCTTCGATGCCTTCCAGTTCTCTCGAACTTCTCGAAGGCATCTGGCACACCTCGTTCGAATGGAGACTGCCCCGAATAGAGGAAGGAAGGAAGGAAGGAAGGCCAGACTGGCAGGATTAGGGGGCCAGTCCATTCTCCAACCCAAACCTTCCGACGGAACCAACAGAACACCTCCACGCCCACGCAGTTCCGGCGTTCAACTCCAGGATGCTACTGGACCCGAACCAACTGCTACATGGTGCGGTCCAAAACCCGAAGTTGTGAGGGTCGAGCTTTTGGGTAGTAAACTGGCACAAGACCGAACCGTCAGCATCCTGCACCGTCACCCAAAACGCCTGGAATGACCGGACCGTCACCGAAAAAGCATGTCACATCATCTGCTTGCTGGTTCAAATCTACCGTAGACGACACCAAGCTCGCCAACTGTCCTGAAATCCATGCTTCATCTGAAGTCACCCGGGATGCGCAATAGCTTATTAGTTCTTTTGTGGTTAATGTGTTTTGTTGCTGACTATTTTGCTGCTTGGGTATTGGCCAGCCATCCGGCCATCCACACAGGGGTTTGCGCGCACTTATACTTGTTTCTGAAACATGTTGATATGCTGACATCTGATTGTCAAGCTCCAAGTAGTACACAAATTTTGCCAATACTATAGCGCTGGCACAGGTTGTGCACTGGATGACTGCTGGCTAGTACTAGCCATCCACAGATTGTGCACTGGCCTATGGGCTCTATAAAATGGAGTCGAGTCCTACTTGCTGGTTCCTTGCATTGGACCATCGCTTGACCTATGATAGACATCCAAAACTTGGACCTAAAAGGGCCCCAAATCAGGAGATGATATTTAAGCACATAATCATCAAAGGGACCAAGGCTTGGATTTGCTTAAACATATTCCTGAGAAAGGGCTTCATCCGAAAGGGAAAACAAAAGACCACCCTAAGCCTAAGCAAATCCTGGAGGACGAGGGGCTCCATCTAAAGGGTATGTCCTACTACGTCTGTTCCACTCCTATGTTTGTTCCAACATTGGGAAGTCTGCGTTCAACGGAGGTCCAGGTTCGTTCGTGGTCCCCACGCGAACAGTGCGTTCGCCGAAAGACGTCGGAGCTTCTCTGTGACCACCGTTTCATTGGCCAGTGATTTTCATGGATACCCGCCATGTGGTACCGCATGGGGAAGTGTAGAAGTAGAAGCAAACCAATGCGTCCAAATGGTCAACAGAAAGTGGAGTCAGAAAAAAGGGCAGTGGAAAAACACAGGAGCAAGAAGCTAGCTTCCAGGCCTTTCTATACTAGGAGCAAGGACGCTACTGCTGGGAGCTACTTTCAGACACACACACACACAATGCCTCGCGAGTTCCGAAAGTGGATGGAAGTGGATGACATGGTCCCTAGATGTCCAGCGGATGTTCAACTGGAAAATGATCCCTGAAGGAATCATCCTTGCTAGCAGTAATTAGACCCTAAGGGTCCAGGGGATTTTCCACTTCCATGTGATGTGTTCGTCGGAATGTGATTAAGAGCTTCTGAGAGTATCTCCTACTACCCCCCCCCAGCTCCAGCTCCATCGAACGAGGTCAGCGCTCGTTTGTTGTTCACCCATTTTCACTTCAATCCTTGGGCAGCCCGGGCTGAGCTGCCACCTCTCACGGATTTGCTGCGCAAAGCCTTGCACCTGGATGTCGCGGAAGTTGTGAAGGCCCGGCCCAAACCGGTTGGACGAAGGCAGGGCCCAACGCAACGCCAACCGAGGTAAACCGCAGGTAGGGGAGCCGAACCAGGGGGGAACCATCTCATGAGAGGGACTAGCCGAACCCGGGGGACGGCTTGTAATGAGGGGACTACCGATGACTGGAAGGTCCCAGTGCCGCGGCAACGGGAACCTTCTCCCCACCAGTGTAGGTTGGGACTCGACCAAAAACCTTCACTCAGCGAATTGACTGTCGAAGCCGTGGAAAAAGACAGATTCCCCCTATGCCTAAGGGATTCATTTCATTCGGAACACAAGAAGCAAAGCAAGCTTCAACGCAGTTTCCTTGCGGACCCAATCACTATCACCAATTAATTGGACCGTCCGCTCACGCACGTCCACGTTCGGGGTGGTTCCGCGCGGCCGGACCGGGGTCACCAGGAGGCACCGTCCGGTCCGATTCCGGCCTGCTTGGGTACGGCGATGGAGCGCGCCTGTGCAAGAAATGTCCAGCGGCGGACGGACTTGAGTCTTGAGGACGTCTGTGTGGATTGCTTTTAAGCAAGCCGCAAGCCATAGACTTAAGACAAACATATTCCATGGTGAACATATATAAGAATAGATAGATAGATAGATAGATAGATAGATAGATAGATAGATAGATA